CCCAAATATACTGTAACATGCAACACAAATTTTACACTCACGATTTTGTTCATTCCCCTAATTTACTATTCTGCTGGCTACTATCAGCTATTTCAATAATATTTAGGGTCCTTTTTAAAAAATTGACCACCCACACGCTACACGTTTGCCAAGATCTACCACTAACCTGCCTAGTTGAGTTAAATTGATTGGAATTTGCTTGAACAAAAACATAATAAATTAAGCTCATAATACCCAACACGAATCTCAGTACAATTTTTTGAATAAGTGTGAACAAGAAACATTCAAACTTCGATTAAGAGTCAGCCAGAGCTTTGATTTTAACAAACTTATAGTCAAACTGATCAGCTCGATGAGACAGACCAAATGATATGAAAGTTAGTCCAATCTGAATCAAATCAAGCCCGGATAAAGTCATTAAATCACTACTAGAGGATTTCCGGAGTAATTTAAAAGGTCAAACGGATGTCGAATCTAGTGAGTTTATAGTCGAATCGAGCATCTCGAAAAATTATTTTTTTTAATTATAAATTTTAAAATTATTTTTACGATAAAAATATTATGTAAAAAAAGCAACTGTTATTACAAATTATTATTAAATTATATATATATTTTTTTTGGATAAATCTATTACAAATTATTATTAAATTATATATATATTTTTGGAGAAGTTATTAAATCAAATTAAATTAAAAATAACATTCAATTCAAAAAGGGAAAAAGCTTCTCTTTTCTCATTTTCTATTTTTATTTTTATTTATTTTTAGACTCAAAAGTGTCACGTGCCAGAAAGCAATCCTTTCACGCAAGGCGACGTCATATACTCCACACAAAAAAGTTAAATATACCATATACGTAGAGGGATACAGAGTAAAGAAGGGAAGCTTAGAGAGAGAAACGAAGCTCTCCATAGCTGCAGGTCTACTGAGAAGCAGAAGAAATCGATCCATCGAGGCCGAGGATTCAACTAATTTTTAGGGTTTTAGCTCTCAACGACAGAGGGGATGGCAAAGATGCAGGAGAAGTCGAACTTCTCCATCACCTGCAGCCTCTTGAGCCAGTACATCAAGGAAAAGGGCAGCCTTGCTGATCTAGGGTTTCTCGATTCTGCGCGATTGGGTATTTTCCGCTCCTACACGAAGCTTTTTGGTGAATGTAATTTTTTGATCTATCCTCATGCGACTGAGATTACACTGTACTGGTGCATTCAGAACAAGATTTAGAACTTAATTGGTATTTTTACAGGCAAACATGAGGCTTATTGGCCGCTGGCAACCAGGAGCTTGCTCTCTGGAGTAGGCATCTCCATCGATGACCCTAAAGACACGAAATCCATGGAGCTTTTTCCCCAGATTATTGGTTTCCTTCCGGCCAAAGAAGAAGAGGCCAAGTATGTCCTCATTTTTCTTCTTTGACTTTTGCTAGCGCCTGTTGATAGGATTTATCATCAGGATTTAAAGTTCCATGAATTCATTGAAATTTAGGATTTAAAAGTCCGAATTTTGCCTTCCATTCTTGTTAAACCCGGATTTAATAAGTCCAGCAAAGAGTAGATTGAAAAGTTCCGAATTTACTAAATCTTATTAAACGACCCCTTAGTCTTTTGCTCATACTATGGAATTCTATCTGCATTTTTCAGGGAGCACCAGGAAAATTCCCAGCTCACTATTTTCTATGGTGGAAAGGTGTTTGTGTTTGAGAACTTCCCTGATGAAAAGGCTAAGGATCTGATGGAGTTCGCTAGAAAAGGGCAGAACTTTACTTCCGAACCAAGTGCCAACATTGCCTCCGGTGCCGCCACACCTGTCGTGGATGCTCAGAGCTCCCCAGCGACTGACACGCCTATGGCAAGCTTCCAAGGCCGTGCTAAACCAAATTTTACCGGTAAGCTATCGAATTTTGTGTCTGAAAACCTAGGGTAGAAATTATTAGGTCCTAAAGCATGCACGTCCAGACAATCATTGACTGGCTGCGGCGGCCCGAGGTTTGTGGGTGATCTGGCATCCCGTGAATAACTGTCCGGATGTTCGGCTTCCAGATCTAATAATTTCTCCAGTTTGGGACTTTTTTCCGCATGCTTTGAGCTTGAGATCCCCACCACAATTTTGTTTGGGGAATTATTCTCTTGCTATTTTTTAAAAATTTTTATAAAAACTGTTTTTTTTTAACCTGATCTATTGAAGTAGATCGGGTACAAGAAAGCTGTGCAATTTTTTAGAAAAATACATATATATATATATAATATAATTTCCATCACTGTTTTTTTAAAAATAATTTTTTTATCATAATTTTACAATCATCTTTTTAAAAACTGCGGCCGCTCTAAACAAAAACTTGCTGAATGTTAGTGTGTTAATTTGTTCTAAACAGATCTCCCCATCGCAAGGAAGGCATCACTGCACCGTTTTCTGGAAAAGAGAAAAGACAGGTAAGGAGCTCTCAACTGCTATTTATTAGCCTCTGCTTTTTCATTGCAAAGTAAAAAAATTTGGGTTTACGTTTTGTATAATCCTGATTTGGGTGATTCTTGGAAGTATTAAATTTCCTAATTCTTTGGTTGACAGTAGTTAAAGTTTGAAAAATGTTAAAAAAAGATTAATTAATTAAGATTTTAAAATTCCAGAAACTCAAATCATTTAAATCAATCAAATTCTGAATCTATATAATGCAAGTTTTATGTTTTTTGGTATGGAGGAATTGTGCAGCAAAGGAATATCATATTCACTCTGTAAATGTATCTTTACTTGTTAATTTATGTGTCATGAGAATTTGATTTTAAATATGAATACTGCTATAAATATCAAAATGCGCTAGATCAGAATTTTCTTCCTTGCTCGATTTGACTCCCAATTACATCATTTTTGCTCTATTTTAGCTAAAGCTCTAATTTTCTTCCTTGCTCGATTTGACTCCCAATTACACCATTTTTGCTCTATTTTCGCTAAAACTCTATTTCTTGCACCTGTAATAAAAAACATGCAAAATACCTTTCATTAAAACGCAATATCATAAAAAATGTATAAAAAAAAAGGGCTTTAAATTTATATTTAAAATAGATAGCTTTAAGGTGTATCAAATACCCTTTATGATTCTCTTCTTAAACACAGTGAAAATCTGAAGACAAATCATGAGTGATATTAGTTCAGCTTCATTCTTCAAAATTTTGGTTACTAGTTCAAACCAAACAACAAAAAATAGATTTGCTGAACCAATCGCTGAAAATAAATTCTTCAATTATGTAAAAACAAAGTCTTGACAAAGCCAAGGTGTACCATTTGACTGGAACTAATCTAAAATCTTGCTTAAATCCTCTCTAAATCCAACAACCAAACAGAAGAAATATTAGCTTATTATTTTACAGAATTTTTGACTGATGTCATCTCTCTTGCAAAACTTTCAGGATTAATGCAAAGGCACCTTATCAGTCGAGCAGCAATGGTGGATCTAAGGATGTTGTGACTATGAAAGAGGAGGAGATCAGCCAGCCAGGGGTGGGGATACATTGAAGCATGGATTGAACACGTGTGTGACCGAGCTTAATCGAACGGTCGATGCTGTGATTTATGATTAAGGCTATATGTTGTGCATATTCTTCACCTTGTTTTTGGGGAAGAGATCACTTGATTTATGATCTATTTAATGTTCTCTCTCAAGAACGCTCATTTGTGGAATTTTTATTGAATCAGCGATCTTTGTCGGATTGGATGCTTTTGATGGATGAAATTATTGTTTGAAAAATTAGTTCTTTTTTCATTTGATTTTGCGAATATTAAGTTCTGTCATATAAAAAATTTTGCCCATCTTGTATTTGTGGAAGAACTGTAAGCACTAATAGGAGAAGCCTTTCGTCTGATCTTGGATTCATCTCCTTGCGGTGATATCTTCAGTGAGCCTGAGTCTTCCTCTTGAATCTCTCCTCTGTGTTTGGTGTTGCTTTCTCCATCATACAGGCAAGGATTTGGCTGCAGGGAAACAACCTTCTTTGTTAATGATGTAATATGTGTTAAATGTCTTATTTACCCTTTGTTAGTTTTACAAGTATGCCACTGAGTTGGCTATTGAAATAGACTTGTATTGTTTCGTATTCGTAAGAAAGAAAAGATAAATAAAATGAAGTTTTGGCTGATCTACTGAGCCCTGTTCTTCTTTCTCTATTTCCTCTTCTGTTATCTTTCTTCTATTTGTTCATGATATCAGGGCCTTGTGCTTCACGACACCATGAATTCCAACACCTCCAGCTCCACTTAAGAAGGTCAGCAATCTCAGATGGCTTACAACAAATTCAATGAAATCTACATGGCTTACATGTTTATCCCCTGACAATTATCTTGTGTGGAAAGCACAAATAAAATTGTTTGCAGCAAATGGTTTTGATTGATACTTTTCTTGATAATCAACACCTCATCCGCCAAGGCACATTTCTGATGCACATGACCAATTACTAGAAAATTAAGATTATATAATGAGACAAATGGTGGACATAAAACTAGCTTCAACAATACTTTCTAGAATTTTCCCATCAAATTTTCCATGCATTCTGCACCTTAACATCATTGTCGAGATCTGTCTGACTTTGGAATGAAGATTTCAGGCATCCAAAGGATCTCAAGTCATTCAATTAAAGAACGAACTCCATGATATAACTATGGGATTAAGCAACATAACACAATACCTCACCACAGTCAAAAATCCTGTAGAAAACATTAAGGGTCCAAAGTGGACCCCGAAGATATTATACTCTACACTTTTAATGGTATAACACCAAGTTACCAATGGCTCAAGACTGCTATACGTAAAAATTTACAACCTGTACTTCTTGAAGATTTTTATGCTCTTCTTCATAGTGAAAAATGCAACATTACTAATGAAACCGCAAGAATTACTCAACAAACAAGCCTTCTCACCTTCAAAAAGAAAGGAGGTACAATAATGCCAAAAATTGCAACAAGAACCAAAATAACAGCAAGAATATAGCCAACAATAGTTCGGTAAAAACAAGATCCGCCACTATATGTCAAATATGTAATAAGAGAGGGCACTCAACTAGTCAATGTTCGCCCATAATAAGCCTCTCCTAACTCAACAGTTGTTGCCTTAACAACTGATGTCTCACCTCAACAATTACAAGATTGGATATTAGACACTTGCGCCACGGCTCATCTCACTCCCTATGGAAAAGATGCAATCAACGCAGCCCTATAAGGGCTCAGAATAAGTTATAGTTGGCAATGGACAAACCTCAGAAATAACACGTGGGTAACGGTATTTCCGCCACTATAAAACTTTTTCCTTTATTTAGAGTGCCAAATTTATCTCATTACTAATCTCTGTTAACAAACTTACAAAAGATAATAATTGCACCATTATTTTTATGCTAATTAGTTTCAAATTGAGAACTCAATTATCAAGACTCCTCTTCTAACTGGACGAGCTGATCAAGGGCTTTATTCCATCACAGCACTCCATACCCCCACAAGCTCAACTCTTTGGCATCAGAGACTAGGACACCACAACAATAAAGCTTTGTCGATGATAGCTCACGCATACCCTCAACTTAATATTTCTTCAAGCAAATTTCATTATTTTGATTATTATGAAAATAAGAGTCACAAATTTGTTTTTAAAAATAGCAATACTACTTACTGCAAGTTTGAAATGATTCTCTGAGATACTTGGATAACATTTCCTCATCCTTCTCTTGGAGGATATAAATATTGTGTTACCTTTATTGATTTTTTCTCTCATTATTGTTGGTGCGTACCACTTTGTCAAAAATCTAAAACAACCTTTAATTTTATTGTCTTGCAAAAATTGATACAAAGTCAGTTTAACGCCATATAAATACATAATAATAGATGGAGGCAGAGAATATATTTCAAATTAACTAAAAATGTATTTCAGATAATGTTTTTTTACATCAATTCAGTTTTCTTTACTCACCCGAAACAGAACGGTATCGCTGAAAGAAAACATCGACATATAAAAAAAACAACTTTGACTTTTTTTAATGATTCTAAATTACACATCACCCTTCAGATGGAAGTTGTGCTTACTGCTACATACCTCATAAACAGACTTCCCTCTCCTAACACACACAATCTCTCTCTGTTTCAACTTTTACGTGAGAAACTACCTGAATATCAACACTAGAAAACTTTTGGCTGCCTCTGCTTTCCTTTACAACATCACAATACTCATCACAAGCTCTCACCCAAGGCACCAAAATGCATCTTTGTAGGGTAAAGCTTGCAACACAAAGGTTACAAGTGTTATGATATTCATGAAAGAAAATTTATAATTTCTTGCCGTGCAAAATTTATTGAAAATAATTTTCCTAGTCAAATCATACTGCCCAACTTTCTTCATCAGCTTTCTCCTCTTCTCTTATACATTACCCACCATCCTTATTAATCTCAACTTCTGTTATACCGACTACCCAATTTATCCCCACAACAAACTCTACCATTGATCTCAAGTCTTCTCCTAATAATTCAATCAGCCCTATATCACCCACACATCCCTAATCTCATTCGGTTTCTCCGTATCTGTTAGATACATTTTCTTTAAATTCCACTATCATGACTTTAATCCAACCCTTCGACCAACATCTTACCTACCTCTAAAACAACACCATATGATAACTCGAGCACAAACTAGACGTTTAAGACCAATGGACACTTTTAATTGGCAACTTCACATTAAAAATCATGATGAACCCACCACTTACAGCCAAGTTGTCAAACTACCTCAGTTGTGCAAACCTATGTTCGAAGAATTTCATACCCTGCAACAACAAGGCTCATGAGAATTAATTTTGCCTCCTGAAAAATATAATTATTTTGGGATATAAGTGGACTTTCATAATACAGATGATATACTAGTTAGACATAAAGCGCGACTAGTAGCTCAAGGCTACTCTCAAGAACATGGAATTAACTACCACGAGACATTCATTTCCGTGGTGAAATTTCCCACAATTCATCTTCTTATTGTTCTTGCTATTAATAAAAATTGATTTATTCAACAACATGATGTATCCAATGCTTTTCTACATGATAAGCTTGATGACACAGTTTATATGTGGCAACCCCCTGGTTTTGTGGATACTAATTGTCTCCGTTATGTTTGCAAGCTTCACAAAGCTATTTATGGACTCAAGCAGGTAACACATCAGCATTTAGATCACTTTATTTGTTGCTTCTCATACTACAATTACTGGCAAGTTAACAATCTCCACTCTTGGTCATCCTCTTAAAGGGGGCTAATAGAAGAAGCCTTTCCTCTGATATTGGATTCACCTGCTTAGCGTAAAATCTTTAGTTCAAACTCGAGTGTCCCTTCTGGTTCTCTCCTCTATGTTCGGTGTTCCTTGCTCTCATCCTTTGGGATAGGGTTCGACTGCAAGGAAACAAGCTTTTATATTAATGTTGTAATATGTGTTAAATGTCTTATTTACCCTTTGTTAGTTTTATAAGTATGCCGCTGAGTCGGCTATTTAAACGAACGTGTATTGTTTTGTATTCGTAAGAAAGAAAAGACAAATAAAATAATATTTTGTCTTATCTGCTGAGCATTGTTCTTCTTTCTTGTTTCCTCTTGTGTTATCTTTCTTCTCGTTGTTCAAGCACATTGAAATGCACAAAAAATTGTATAATCAGTTTGGGATTGTTTGGAATTTATTTTTGTTTTTGGTTTTTTATTTTATTTTTTTAATATTTTGATTTGAAATAATTATTTTTGATATATTAAAAAAATTTATTCACTTTCTTTGAATATTTAATAAATTGATTAATATGGTGGTGATAATGGTTGCTAGCAAAATAGTTGCAATGAATAGTGATAACAACTGTCAACGATGGTCACTAACATAATTTGGTTGGAGAAAGTAGTTGTAGGCAACAACGACGACAACTATTTTCTAAAATATTCAAAAAAGTTTAATTTTTTAAGTATTTTTAAAAATAATTTAATTTGTTTTAAAAATTAAGAGTTAAAAATGTATTTAAAATTTTTAATATAAATTAACTTTTGATATTATGGACTCCAAAATGTGATGCTTTAAACTCTCTTGATGATAGATTCTTTATGAATTTCTAGAAAAAAAAATATTTAAAAGAAAATTAATTTTTAGACAAGACACTGACTAGAGAATTTGCCCTTATTTTATAAGGGCTTTAACATCTAGTTTTAAGTTTTTCATAGGCTCAAGTATCTAGGATTAATTACCCTTCTTTGTAATTAGAAATATTTTTTTATTAAATCTAGTTATTAAAGGCTTGACTATTCTTATTTTAAGAAACATGCTCTCAAAATATTGAGTTTGAAAGTGAAGTATTAGAAAAGCAACATAAAGTTGTTGATGTCTTATTGAAAATGCTTTCAAGATAGAGCTTAAAGTTGAGGCACTGGAAAGCAGCACCAAGGTGTTAATTCATTATGAAAAATACTCTAAAGATAGGGAGTAGTGCTAAGGTGCTACAAAGGCAACACAAAGGTTCTATTACCTAATTAAAAATAAGGATATCTTGAGCATGAAGCTATCTAATATTGTAGGCAGAAAGTCTCTGACTAAGGTGAGATTTATGTCGTTAAGCATAAGACCATGGAAAAAATCTCACACATAAGATATTCAAGGAATGGTTGAGTTTTGTCCCTAAATCATCTATTGAACCAAAAATGATGTCAAAAGCTAAAACTATA